CTGTGCTGTTCCTGGGGCTTGAATTCAGGGCCTGTGCACTATCCCTGAACTTTTTTGCTCAAGGATGACACTGTACTGCTTGAGCCATAGCTCCATTATCTGCTTTTTGGTAGTTAATTGGATTCTCATGAACTTTCCTCCTCAGGCTGGCTTTGAACTGTGGATCCTCAGATCTCAGCCTCCTGAGTGGTTAGGATGACAGGCATGAGCCACAGGCACCTGGCAGATGTAAAGTGTTTCTGAAGAAATTAACAGGCCAGGCTGGGGATGTGGCTTAGTGGTAGAATGCTTGCCTAGCGTACATGAAGCCCTGGGTTCAATTCCTCAGTACCATATACACAGAAAAAGCCAGAAGTGGCGCTGTGGCTCAAGTGGTAGATTGCTAGCCTTGAGCAAAAGAAGCTCAGGGACAGTGCCCAGGCCCAGCATTGGCAAAAAGAAAAGAAAAAAGAAAGGCCTTCCCTCCTCCTTCCTGCCTTCCTCAGGCCCCTCCCACATCCCTGCCCCGTTACACCCTCCTCTCTCCCTGTCTGAAACCCTGCTTCCCTCCATGGTCAGATCAGAGTGTATGCTCCTGGATGCTTTACTGAGTTTTCCACTGCTTTTTCTTTTCTGCAGATAATGATGCTGGGAATGCATGGCAATCTGAAATGGTCCAAAGACTCCAAAGACAGTCTCCTCATCACTCTACCCTCACTGCCCCCCTCGGGTCTCCCAGTGAAGTTTGCTTGGACGGTGAAGATGACCAATGTGAAGTGATTGTTGGAGTACCAGGCAGGACCAGGGGCCCCTGATAACTGGGCACTGCTTTGAGTTTCTCTTGTAGTGCCATCTTTGAATAAAGTTAACTTCTCTTCCCCACCCATAGGGGGATCTTCCCACACATTTTAATCAAAGAATGGAATACAGTCTGTTGATCACTAAGGCATGGGAGAGCTGAGATCCAGGTGTGGAGGCGTGGCCCAGGTGGTCGAGCATTCGCCCACCACTACAGCCTTACAAAGAAATAATAAATGAATAAAAATTTGTTAAGTCTCAGATCCATTGCAAAAGAAGGGACAAACCAGGTAAGCTAGTTTGTTCCCTCCTACATGGGATTTTCTACGAGGAAGTCCCCTTCATCACCCATAAAGAATGCATCCTTCACCCTGCTGCTGTGACAAGACATGGAACAGTTTTGATGGCTCAACCACATGCTTTTTGTTTATTTTGGGGGGTACTTGGGTCCAGAGGTTTGAGCTCAGTACTTCACTCTTGCTTGGCAGGATCTGGCATGACCCCAGTTTTGGGTTTGTTTTTTTTTTTGTTGGATGTGGGGCTTGAACTCTGGGCCTGGGCACTGTCCTTGAGCTCTACAGCTCAAGGCAATTGCTCTGCCACTTCAACAATAGCACCACTTCTGGTTTTCTGGTGGTTAATTGAAGATAAGAGTCTCATGGACTTTCCTGCCTGGACTGGCTTTGAACTGCAACCCTCAGATCTCAGCTTTCTGAGTAGATAGGATTACAGGCGTGAGCCACCAGCTCCCCCTTCTATTTTCAGGGCCTTGGTGCTGACCTCTTTTTTGCTCAGAGCTGATGCTCTTATCACTTGAGCCACGGTTCTACTTCCAGTTTTTTGGTGATTAATTGAAGTAGAATCTCGTAGACTTTCCTTCCCAGGCTGGCTTTGAACCTTGATTCTCAAGTTCTTAGCCTCCTGTGTAGCTAGGTTTACAGATATGAGCCACTGGTGTCTGGCTGCTTTGGGTTTTTTTGGTTGTTTTGTTGTTGTTGTTGTTTTGTTTTTTTGTCAGTTGTGGGGCTTGAACTCTGGGCCTGAGCACTGTCCCTCAGCTCTTCAGCTCAAGGCTAGCGCTCTACCACTTAAGCTACAGCGCCACTTCCAGTTTTCTGGTGGTTTATTGGAGATCAGAGTCTCACGGACTTTCCTGCCCAGGCTGGCTTTGAACCGAGATCTTCAGATCTCAGCCTCCTGAGTAGCTAGGATTACAGGTGTGAGCCACCAGAACCCAGCTTGCTTTGGTTATTTTTTTTGTTTTTTGTTTGTTTGTTTTTGTCGGCCATGGGGCTTGAACTCTGGGCCTGGGTGCTGTCCCTCAGCTCTTCAGCTCAAGGCTAGCACTCTACCACTTGAGCTACTGCGCCACTTCCGGTTTTCAGGTGGTTTATTGGAGATAGGAGTCTCACGGTCTCTCCTGCCCGGGCTGGCTTTGAACCTCTATCCTCAGATCTCAGCCTTCAGAATAGCTAGTATTACAGGCGTGAGCCACCAGCACCCGGCTGGTTATTTTTGAGGTAGCAAAAGTACAACCTAGCCGTGCGCCGGTGGCTCATGTCCGTAATCCTAGCTACTCAGGAAGCTGAGATCTGAGGATCGTGGTTAAAAGCCAGCCCGAGCAGAAATATCTGTGAGACTCTTACCGCCAATAAACCACTAGAAAACCCGAAGTGGCACTGTGGCTCAAGCGGTAGAATGCTCGCCTTGAGCTGAAGAGAGTAGGGACAGCGCCCAAGCCTAGAGTTCAAGCCCCACAACCTGCTGTTGTACTTTTGCCCAGGATGACCTGTATCTTAATCTTCTACTTAAGCTTCTTCCTATAGCTGGTATGGCAGACACTTGCCAACATGCTCATCTCTTTCTTTTCTTTCTTTCTTTCTTCTTTTTTTTTTTGTCGGTCACGGAGCTTGAACTCTGGGCCTGAGCACTGTCCCTCAGCTCTTCAGCTGAAGGCTAGCACTCAACCAATTGAGCCACAAAAGTCTCACGGGGCTGGGAAGGTGGCTCAGTGGTAGAGCACTTGCCTTGCATGCCTGAGGCCCTGGGTTCGATTCCTCAGCACCACATAAGCAAAAAGAAAAAAGCCAGAAGTGGTGCTGTGGCTCCAGTGGTAGAGTGCTAGCCTTGAGCTGAAGAGCTGAGGGACAGCGCCCAGGCCCAGAGTTCAGGCCCCACGACCGGAACCAAGAAAAAAAAAAAAAGTCTCACGGAATTTCCTGCCTGAGCTGGCTTTGAACCACAATCCTCAGATCTCAGCCTCTTGAGTAGCTAGGATTATAGGCATGAGCCACCTGCACCTGGCTACAACTTTTTCTGTTGAGTTTTTCAAGCATTGGGGGGAGGGAGGAAGCTGGTTTGGCCTGAAACTGCTGTTTTGCCCATCTCCACCTCCTGAGTAGGATGACAGGAGTGAGCCCCCACCATCTGGCCTCTCTTTTTGAGACAGGATCTTGCTACATAGCTACATAGCCCAAGCTGTCCCCAAGCCAATCTTCCTACCTCAGACTCCTGGGTGCTGGGATTATAGGTGTGCCTTTTTACCTTACCTGGCCTTTTCCATCTTTCTAATAGAGTGTTTTATGGGCATTTCTGTTTGCAGCCCACTATTTGAGTGACCCTCCTGTATCAACCTACTGAGTAGCTAGAAGTACAAGTGTGCACCACCACACCCAGCTAGATATTTATTCTGTTACCAGGCACTAGTAGCCTACACCTGTAATCCTAGCTACTCAAGAGGCTGAGGTCTGAGGTTCACAGTTCAAAGCCAGCCCAGGCAGAAAAACCTGTGAGACTCTTATCTTCAATTCCCCACCAAAAAAAAAAAAAGAAAGAAACACCAGAAGTGTAGCTGTGATTCAAGTAGCAGAGCACTAGCCTTGAGCACATTAGCTCAAGGATAGTCCCCAGGCCAAGTTTATTTTTTTGGGTCCGGTCGTGGGGCCTGAACTCTGGGCCTGGGCGCTGTCCCTTAGCTCTTCAGCTTAAGGCTAGCGCTCTACCACTTGAGCCACAGCGCCACTTCCGGCTTTTTTCTGTTTGCTTATGTGGTGCTGAGGAATCGAACCCAGGGCCTCGAGCATGCAAGGCAAGCGCTCTACCACTGAGCCACCTTCCCAGCCCCCCAGGCCAAGTTTAAACCCTAGGACCAGCACACACACAAAAAACTTTTACTTTGCAAACTGCTTGACATATATAATAAAAATGTTGTTAATTATACTTTCTACTCTTATAAGTTTTCTTTATTTTCTATTACAGAATGTTGAGGGAAGTTGGCTCAGTGGTACAGTGCTTGCCTCGCATGCATAAGGCCCTGGGTTCGATTCCTCAGCACCACAGAAAAAGCCAGAAGTGGCGCTGTGGCTCAAGTGGTAGAGCGCTAGCCTTGAGCTGAAGAGCTGAGGGACAGCGCCCAGGCCCAGAGTTCAGGCCCCAAGACTGGATACACACACACAAAAAGCCGGGTGCTGATGGCTCATGCCTGTAATCCTAGCTACTCAGGAGGCTGAGATATGAGGATCATGGTTCAAAGCCAGCTCGGGCAGGAAAGCCCGTGAAACACTTGTCTCCTGTAAACCACCAGAAAACCGGAAGTGGCACTGGTACCTATTAAATTAATCCTAAAACCAATTAATGGGGCACAACCCGCAAAATGCTGTATTAGCCCCATGCTACTCAAGTGGCTAAGATCTGAGCATCACAGTCCAAAGCCAGCCCGGGCAAAAGTCAGTCTTCTCTCTACCAAAAGTTTGAGAAACTGTGGCTGAAGTGGTAGAGTGCTAAGAAGAAGGAGGAAGAAGAAGTAGAGGAGGAAAAAAAACTTCAGAAACATGGGCCCTGAGTTCAAGCCGCAGCACTGGTGTCTTCGTCTCTGGCCGTTGCATCTGCTGTCTGTCTGGAACGCTTGTCCAAGATCTACTCTGCAGACCCCTCGAAGGATGCTTCTCCCCGACGTTCACTGCCCGAGTTTGTGTCTTCCCAGACCGAACACGGGAGCCGGAGCCTGGCTTTCGGTCGGTCTGCGTTTTTTGCCCCTCAGGTTGTCTGGCATGCAACAAGCGCTCAGCCAATCTACTGGGACGGTAGGGATTGGGGCGAGGGCAACAACAACCACCACAACAACAACATCAACGGCACCACCACCCGGGGAGGCCAGGCGCGAACCCGGGATTGGAGCACGCAGACTCCGCCCAGGGGCGCGGCCACGCCCACTCCGGTCACGTGGCCGCCACAGCTGAGCCAAGATGGCGAGCGTGAGGAAGGTGCTGCCGCGGCGAGCGGTGGGCTGGGCGTCCCTCCGGGCTGTAAGTGCCGCGGACAGCGCCCTCCCCCTCCCCGGGGGCAGCGGGACGGTTCGGGGCCGGGGCTTGTTCGGCGGCGGCTGTCTGAGAGGCGGAGCCCGACAGCCCTTCCCGCCGCAACGAGCGAGGCCCCGACAAGTCTTTTGGACCCTTAGGGGCTGTGAGGAAACGGAGGCAGGCAGCGGCCGCCGTGAACGCCACCCTGGGCCTTCCCGCTGGCCCGGGCTCGTGGCGCCGGGCTCCCAAGTTCGTTGGCGAACCGCAGTGCTCACCTTCCAGGTCCCGCGGCGGGAGGAGCCTCCCGGCCCCAGCCGCTGCCTTCCCAGCTGCGGATGGTTTGGAGGACGCTGCGGGGAGCCGGCGCCGGGGGCCTGGCTGCGACCCCGCGCTGTTGTACTTTGGACGTGATCGACCGTGAGGTGGTGGGTGCCTCTCTGGCTCAGCGAGTGTAGGCGACAGCCAGCTGCTAACGGGTGGAGTCAGCCGTGCTAGGTGCACAGCTGTGCACCAGCCCAGTGGGTCAGCCACTTTCTAGGCCGAAGGACATAGTTATTTACTCTCTCCGAACGCCAGTTGTCTCGTCTGTAAAGTGGATTACGTTATCTCGGGGTGGTTTTGGAGAGTGAGAACAAGTAGGTAAAAGCATTTGGCATGCTGGGTTTTGGTTGTTTTGCTTTGTGTTTTGGGTTTTGGTTTGTTCGTTGGTTTTGGGTGGTTCTAGGCATCAATCCAGGACCTCAAATCACTTTACCACTGAGCTATAAACTCAGCGGGGTTTCCAGGAAGGGATTACTAGAAATTGGAGAAATTATATTCCCAAACATTGGTTCTCTTTCAGAAAACCACTTTAATGTCTCCAGGCCACTCACCTCACCTCCACCAATTAGTCATGTGGAAAATGAAGACCCTAACTTCAGCTTAGGAAGTTAAGAAAATTAAATGGGATAATAGAGATAATCCTCTAGATGGGAGGGGGTGGCATAATGAAAGTAGGAATCAGAACCAATCCAAGTCCCAGGCACTTTCCAGTTATGTGATTTGGGGGTAATCTTTCTGAGGCCCAGTTGTTTTCTGTCCTGGAGTTGGTGTAAGGATAACCCCCGCTATGCGTGTTCAAGTTAGTTTTGATGGAGATAAACCCGCCCATCTCAGGGCACTTTAGCTCAGAACCTAATGTGGTTACAGAGGGTCATCTCTGAGGGGGCTTTTTTTTATTTAACCAAGAAAATAGAAGACCAGAGCAAGGCAGGTAGGCAGCAGCAGTGGCCTAAGGGTTAGAAGCTTGCACTCTACAAGCCACTCTGCCAGCTTTCCAGTATTGCCCTGTGACCAGTGAGCCATGGAATCTTGGGATACTTTGTTTTTGGTGTCAATGGAATTGGGTGTCAAAAGGTTTGGGAAAAAACTTTTTTTTTTTTTGCCAGTCATGGGGCCTGAACCCTGGGTCTGGGTGCTGTCCCTCAGCTCTTCAGCTCAAGGCTAGCGCTCTACCAATGGAGCCACAGCGCCACTTCCGACTTTTTCTGTTTATGTGGTGCTGAGGAATCGAACCCAGGGCCTCATGCTTGCAAGGAAGTCATGCACTCTACCGTTGAGCTACCTTCCCAGCCCCCCCCTTTTTTTTTTGTCGGTTGTGGGACTTGGGCGACTTGTTGGTTGTGGGAATTCTGGGCTTGGGCGCTGTCCCTGCCCTCTTCAGCTCAAGGCCAGCGCTCTACCACTTGAGCCACAGTGCCACTTCTGGTTTTCTAGCGGTTTATTGGAGATAAGAGTCTCATGGACTTTCCTGCCTGGGCTGGCTTTGAACCGCGATCTTCAGATCTCAGCCTCCTGAGTAGCTAGGATTACAGGCGTGAGCCACCGGCGCCCAGCAAAACTTCTTTAGGCTTCAGATTTTTCCCAGCAAAGTGCAGATTATGATAGTCTCTACCTAATAAGGTTATGGAGAGGATAATGTGGGTTAGTATTCAAGCCTGGCAAATATTAAAGAATAGATTGTTGTGTTTAGGGGATGGTTGTTGTTGTTCATTTGTTTGTTTTTGTGCTGGTCTTAGGGCTTGAACTCAGGTTCTGGGCACAGTTCCTGAGCCTTTTTTTCTTTTTTGGTCGGTCATGGGGCTTGAACTCTGGGCCTGGGCGCTGTCCCTCAGCTCTTCAGCTCAAGGCCAGCGCTCTACCACTTGAGCTACAGCGCCACTTCCGGTTTTCTGGTGGTTTATTGGAGATAGGAGTCTCACGGTCTCTCCTGCCCGGGGTGGCTTTGAACCGCGATCCTCAGATCTCAGCCTCCTCAGTAGCTAGGATTACAGGCGTGAGCCACCAGCGCCCGGCTTCCTGAGCCTTTTTTGCTCAGAGCTACCACTTGAACTACAGTTTCACTTGCAGCCATTTTGGTAGTTAATTGGAGATAAGAGTATCATAGGGGGCTGGAAAGGTGGCTCAGTGGTAGAGTGCTTGCCTAGCATGCATGAATTCCTGGGTTTGATTTCTTGACACCACATAAGCAATAAAAGCCGAAAGTGGCACTGTGGCTCAAGTGGTAGAGCACTAGCCTTGAGCTGAAGAGCTGAGGGACAATGCTAGGCCCAGGGTTCAGGCCCCACGACCGACAAAATAAAATAAGTATCATGGACTTTCCTGCTCTGGCTGACTTTGAACCACAGTTCTCCTATCGCATGTGGCTCGATGGTAGAGCACCTGTCTAGCATGCATGAAGCCTCAGTATCACATTAACAGAAAAAGCTGGAAGTAGTGCTGTGGCTTAAGTGGTAGAGCATAAGCCTTGAGCAAAGGAAACTCAGGGCAAAAAATATAAATCTCAGCTAGAATTATAGGTGTGAGCCACCAGTGCCTGGCTCTTTGTTTTGTGCTGGCACTGGGGCTTGAACTCAGAGCCTGGGCACTGACCCTTAGCTGTTTTTTTGCTCAAGGACAGCACTCTACCACTTTAGGCACCACTCTACTTCCAGCTTTTTAGATGGTGAGCTGGTCCAAACTGGCTTTGAACCATGATCCTCAGATCTTAGCCTCCTGAGTAGCTAGAATTACAGGCATCAGCCACTGGTGCTTGACACTGTAAATCATTGTTGTTATACGAAGTGCTGTTATAGAAAACTTAAGTGAGTTTCAGTTTAACCTGTTTTATAAGTTTTATGTCCCCTCAACAATTATGTCATTTATTGAGCCCTATTGTGGCTTAGGGCCTTGGAAATAAAGCAGGGAACAAAGCAAGGTCTTCCGTCTCTGTGGCATAAGCCTGAAGTGCCCCTGGAGTAATGTTAGTGTTCTGTACTAGACCAACTGCAATAGGACATCTCTGGCCTTCCAGCTTAGTCACTGCCATGGGGAAGGAGACGTGTTTACCTAGATTAAATGTGGTAGAATGAAGTTTATTTGACAAGTTGTACTAAGGGTGAAAGAGGTAAAGAAGCCCATGTTACTTTGGGAGGAGGGGAGATTGGGACACATTTTACATAGAGGAGGCTTCAAGCTTCTAAGATTCTTTTTTTTTTTTTGTCTGTCATGGGGCTTGAACTCTGGGCTTGGGCACTGTTCCTGTGCTCTTCAGCTCAAGGCAAGTACTCTACCACTTGAGCCACAGCACAACTTCTGGTTTTCTAGTGGTTTATTGGAGATAAGAGTCTCACAGACTTTACTGTGTGGACTGGCTTTGAACTGTGATCCTCAGATCTCAGCCTCGTGAGTAACTAGGATTATAGGCGTGAGCCACCGGCACCCATTCACCCCAGTACAGAGGTCTTCCTGTGAACCTACCGCCACCACAGAACCAGGCTAACTGTTCTCAGTGATTGCTCTTCTCCTGGACAGCTGTGCCCTATGCATTATGGGTTGTTCTGTCACTTTAAGGAGCACTACCATGAAGCAGCCGCAGTGCTGGACTGGACAGTCAGGACGAAGGTGTGGAAACAAATGAGGCTCCCCAGAGTTTATAACCTCTTGGAGGAAAGGTAGCATCGGCATGCTCCCAGTGCTTTGAAGGAAATAACTATAGCCCTGAAATAAGAGCTGGAGGTGAGAGGGTGGGTGGATTTGCACAGGCTGAGAGTGGGGTGTGAGGAGAGTGGGGGGGGCAGACCCGCTCGGGGAGAGAAAGCTAGTGGAGCTGGCGCTGAGCACACTGCTTATGCTGGTGGAGAGGGGAGCAACAGGGGAAGCTATGAGTTCTGTGAGAGCCAAGTTGTACTGAGCCTGTGGCCGTGCAGTGAGTCAGGTTCCAGCTTAAGCAACAGAGCTTGTGCCATGCCTTTTATACAGAGTAAAAGGTAAACAATTATGTCACATGGAGAAACAAAAAGCACACTGGGTTTGTGTTTATTGTTTTTGGGGGGTTGTTTGTTTTTTTTTTGTGGTACTGGCAGTACTCAGTGTTTTCTTGAACCATGCCCCAGTATTTTTGCTGGTGGCTCAGGCCTGTAATCCTAGCTACTCAGGAGGCTGAGTTCTGAGGATCACAGTTCAAAGCCAGCCTGGGCAGGTAAGTCTGTGAGACTCTGATCTCCAATTAAATTACAGAAAAGCGAGAAGTGGCCCTATGGCTCAAGTGGTAGAGTGCTAGCCTTGAGCAAAAGAGCTCAAGGACAGTGCCCAGGCCCCAAGTTCAAGCCCCATGACTAACGAGAAAAAAAAAAAATCCCATACTAACCTTGCTTGGACTGGCCTCATACTACAACCTTGCTACCTCCCCAGTCCTAATAGCTGGAATTATAGGCATGCACCACCACAGCTTTGTTGTTTGTATGTTGTATGCTGGTCTTGGGGCATGTGTGCTGTTCCTGAGCTTTTTTGCTCAAGGCTAGTGCTTTATCACTTGAACCACAGCTCCACTTCTAGCTTTTTGGTGGTTAATTAGACATAAGAGTCACAGGCTTTCCTGCTGGGACTGGCTTTGAAACTCAGATTTCAGTCTCCTAAATAGCTAGGATTCCAGGCATCCTCAGATCTCAGCCTTCTGAGTAGCTAGGATTTCAGGCATGAGTCACTGGCACCCAGATGTTTCGTTTTTTGAGACAGGATCTTGCTGGGAACTCATCTAGCCTCAAAATCATCACTATCAGGGCTGGGAAGGTAGCTCAGTGGTAGAGTGCTTGCCTCACATATTAGGACCTGGGTTTGATTCCTCAGCACCACATAAGCAAAAAAAGCTGGAAGTGGCACTGTGGCTCAAGTGGTAGAGCACTAGCCTCGAGCTGAAGAGCTGAGGGACAGCGCCCAGGCCCAGAGTTCAGGCACCATGACGGACAAAAAAAAAAAACCACTTTCTTGCCTTGGCCTCTTTTTACAAGATAGGAAGGAAATGAGTTAGATGGACTTCAGGAGAAATTACAGAGTTTGGAAGAGTACTGAATTGGAAAAGAGCAAATAAGCAAATAAAGCCATTGAGTAGGCAGCTAGAAGTGGGTCTGGACTCTTTCAGGAGAGGACTGGCCTAGGAGCTCGGGCCTCTTGTTCTTTTCTGTTCCTGTCCCAAAGTACAATATTCTTTTTTTTCTTTTTTGTTTTTTCATGTTTGCTAGTACTGGGACTTAAGAACTTGGGGCAGTAAGCTGAAACTTACTTTTTCCTCAAGACTGGTATTGTACCACTTGAGTCATAAGAGTCCTAAGGAGCCCGTGCTGGTGGCTCATGTCTGTAATATTAGCTACACAGGAGACTGAGATCTAAAATTCTAAGATCTAAGGTTCAAAAGCCCACTTGGCAAAGACTCTGAATTAATCACCAAAAAATGGAAGTGGAGGTGTGACTCGAGTGATAATGAGACTTGAGTGAAAAAGCCAAGAGAGAGCATGAGGCTCTGAGTTCAAGGCCCAGGAATGGTGAGCAGAGTGGAGGGGAAGTTTCAAGGCATTAGGTGTCTTCAAACTCTAATCCCCAGGCCTCAGCCTCCTGAGTAGCTAGAGTTATAGGCACAAGCCACTGGCACCTGGCTTGCAATGTGCTTTTGATGTTAATACTAGAGGAAATTGCATATGCGTTGAACAGTGAGAAATACACTTGTTTCAACATTAGCCAAAAAGACCCATCCTATGAGAACCGTCCACAGAGAACTGTGACAATCTCTCTCACTTTTCTTTCCTCTTAAACAAAGGTCAGCACATCATCTATGGGCACCTTTCCAAAGCAGGTGAAGATTGTGGAAGTTGGTCCCCGAGATGGTCTACAAAATGAAAAGGTAAAGATGGAGACTTACAGAGATGCAAATTACAGACTTTTGATAAAATGGAATATTAGGAAGTTGTCAGTATAAGAATATGTAGGGGGGCTGGGAAGGTGGCTTGGTGGTAGAGTGCATGCCTTGCATGCATGAGGCCCTGGGTTTGATTCTCAGTACCACATAAGCAGAAAAAGCCAGAAGTAGTCCTATGGCTCAAGTGGTAGAGCTAGCATTGAGCTGAAGAGCTGAGGAACAGCGCTCAGGCCCAGAGTTCAGGCCCCACAACCAACAAAAAAAAAAAGTATGTAGGGCTGGGAATGTGGCTTAGTGATAGAGTGCTTGTCTAGCATGCCTGAAGCCCTGGGTTCAGTTCCTCAGTAGTACCATATAAACAGAAAAAGCTGGAAGTGGTGCTGTGGCTCAAGTGGTAGACTGCTAGCCTTGAGCAAAAGAAACTCAGGGACAGTGTGCAGGCTATGAGGTCAAACCTCAGGACTGGGGGGAGGGGGGGAGGGGAGAAAGAGTAGTGTTGGTAGCTCACACCTGTAATCCTATCTACTCAGGTATGTTGAGATCCTCTTTTTCTTTTCTTTTCTTTTTTTTTGGGTCCGGTCGTGGGGTCTGAACTCTGGGCCTGGGTGCTGTCCCTCAGCTCTTCAGCTCAAGGCTAACACTCTACCACTTGAGCCACAGTGCCACTTCCGGCTTTTTTCTTTTTGCTTATGTGGTGCTGAGGAATCAAACCCAGGGCCTCATGCATGCAAGGCAAGTGCTCTACCACTGAGCCACCCTCCCAGCCCCAGGAGACTCTTATCCCCAATTAACTACCTGAAAACCAGAAGTCATCCTGTGGCTCACAGTACTAGAATGCTATCCTTGAGTGAAAAAGCTCAAGGAGTGCAGGGCGCTGGTGGCTCACACCTGTAATCCTAGCTACTCAGGAGCCTGAGATCTGAGGATCGCGGTTCAAAGCCACCCCGGGCAGGAGAGACCATGAGACTCCTATCTCCAATAAACCACCAGAAAACCAGAAGTGGCGCTGTAGTTCAAGTGGTAGAGCGCTTGCCTTGAGCTGAAGAGCTGAGGGACAGCGCCTAGGCCCAGAGTTCAAGCCCCACGACCGACAAAAAAAAAAAAAAAAAGCTCAAGGACATCATCCAGGCTGCACACACACACACACACACACACACACACACACACACGCTGGGAAGGTGGCTCAGTGGTAGAGCGCTTGCCTTGCATGCCTGAGGCCCTGGGTTCAAGTCCTCAGCACCACATAAGAAAAAAGAAAAAAGCCGGAAGTGGCGCTGTGGCTCAAGTGGTAGAGTGCTAGCCTTGAGTTGAAGAGCTGAGGGACAGCGCCCAGGCCCAGAGTTCAGGCCCCATAACCAGACCCCCCCCCCCCAAAAAAAAAGTATGTTGTTGAGTTTAGGTAAAATAGTACATCTGTTTGTTTTTTGTGACAATCCTGGGGCTTGGACTCAGGGCCTGGGTACTCTGCCACTTGAGGCACAGCTCCACTTCTGGCTTTTTTGGTGGTTAATTAAAGGTAAGAGTCTTATGGGCTTTCCTGTCCCAGCTGGCTTCAAACCTCAATCTTCAGATCTCAGCCTCCCGAGTAGCTAAGATTACAGGCATGAGCCACCAGCACCCAGCTTAATACTCTTAATGGAAGGTTTGAACAGAAAGGTAACAGATTCTGTGTACTATGAATTGAGACTGAAGCATAATGTCCATGAGTGGGAATTCAGGACCCATAGGATCTGGTGAGCAACCAGGTGACCGGAGAAGGAAAGCAGTAGGCTGAGCCTTGTGAGAATAAAGTCCTGTGCCACCTGAGAACAGGAAAGAGGAGGATTGGGATACTTTGGGCCCTACGCCATAAGCCCCAGAGGCAAGAGTGGGAGTCATCTCTGCACATCTCTGCACATGCACGTTTGTTTACAGTGGGCCATAAATTAACAGACATTCAGTTCAGAGACAGTGTGCATGGCAGGAAAATGTGATTTCCCAGTAAATATGAACTCAAGTGAGAGGCTGCTTCCACCACAAGACCATTTATAGATGTGAAGACAGGCAAAGATTTCTTGTGAATTCCTGCTCATGTTTGGAGGCTGAGACTGAAGGGCTTGCTGTAGCAAAAGCCTTGAACTAACAGCAGCGCCCACTGAGGCCATTTCAGTAGCAGTGCTGCTATATCTTGTGCTGTCCCATCTTGCTGTAGAATGTTGTCCCTACTGCCGTGAAGATCAGGCTGATCGACATGCTCTCTGAAGCAGGGCTTCCTGTCATAGAAGCCACCAGCTTTGTGTCTCCCAAGTGGGTTCCTCAGGTGAGCTGCAGCCTCGAGTGGGAGCATGGGTTTCCACACTCTCTCTGAGAGGTCTTACACCATCCCTCGCACTGTGGGGCACTGAAGGGCATGACGTGGGAACTGCAGTGTGGATTCATTCAGGGGCCTGCCCCAATCTTAGCTTTGCTAAGATTTCTCCCCCTTGCATGTTGGAGGTGGTTGCTCAGGTCTCCTCTGGCCAAATGACAAGACTCTCTGTGTCTGTGGTTTCCATGTGTGAGATGGACAAGAAGGTTAGACAGATCCTGTTACAGAGAATGCAAAGAGTGGGTCCAGGGACTGTGCAAATGTTGGTGTGGTGTTAACACAGGGATGACTTATATAACTCTGACAGTGTTGGTCATATGAAGAAATGGGAGGTGTCATCCAAACCCCCAGGCCTCCCGGTCCTTCCACACTCAAGCAGATAGCAAAAGCCCTGGGCAGACTCAGCCCTGAAGAAGGCTTTTTCCAGGGTCTACAGAACAGAGACTTTGGTGAAAGATTGTTCTCCACCTGTTGAGATCTCTGCCTGCTTTGGTAATTACTTGACAATGACTTCTTCGGCTCCAGATGGCTGACCACACTGAAGTCTTGAGGGGCATTCAGAAGTTTCCTGGCATCAACTACCCGGTCCTGACCCCAAACATGAAAGGCTTTGAGGCAGCGGTAAGAGGCTCACTTGGTGGGGGCTCCTGGAATAGATGGAAGGCATTCGTCCCTGTACTGGGGTGTCCCTCTTCAGTGATGGCAAGCAGTCCTGGCCCTGCCACTGCTTTGTGATTACTCTGTGATCTTGACACGTACTTAACTTTTCAGAATACAGTCTGCCTATGCATGAGTGCTGATGAGTACCTTCACATGAGTGACCACCTTTGGGATAGTTCCAGAATGTGGAGTGTACACAGATACCTATCCAGTGCCTGACAGGAGACCTGTTATTACTGTTGCTGTTATCATTGGGGCTTGAACCCAGGGCTTTACACTCTTACTTGGCTCTTTCAGTCAGGGCTGGAATACTACCACCTGAGCCAGAGCTCTACTTCTGGCTTTTTGCAGGTTAATTGGAGATAAGAGTCTCCAGAACTTTTCTGCCAGGGCAGGTTTTGAATCTCAATCCTGAGATCTTAGCCTTCTGAGTAGGTAGATGTGTGAGTCACTGGCACCTGGCCTCTACTTCCCCCAGGAGCCCATCCTGAGCCAACATGACCTCCTTTATGTATGCCTTCTTCAATGGCCCGGTTTCCAAACAAGACCACATTCAGAAGAACTGGGGATAGGACGTCACCACATCATTTTATAGGGGCACAATTCCTATTATGTACATTTTACATTAGATACCCAATGTTCTTGAGGAAAGCTGAAGTCTTTCTTTGCCTGGGTGTTGGCAGGTGGCTGCCGGAGCCAAAGAAGTAAGCATCTTTGGTGCTGTCTCTGAGCTCTTCACCAAGAAGAATGTCAACTGCTCCATAGCCGAGAGCTTCCAGCGCTTTGATGGAATCATGAAGGCTGCACAGGCCGCCAGCATTCCTGTGCGTGGGTGAGTCAGCCCTCAGGCCCTGCCCCAGCTATCCTTCCCACCTTACATCATAAGCAGTTTTGACTTAAGTATCTGCGTCAGCCCAGGCCCCACATGTCAGCACCTCTTCCCAGGTAAGTATGGCAGAAGCCCTATAGGAAGCCCTTCCCTTGATTGTAAATGTGGCCGTCTCCACAGATGGCCCCCTCTAGCTGTTCCTGTCGCTTTTCCCTGTGTTTCTTCATAGCGCTCACCTTGCTCCTTGCTCGATTGCCTCTTTGTTGCCTAGTCCCAACCTGAAAGTGCTCTAGGACAGGACCCAGTTGGTCTTGCTCACTGCTCTGTGCTGGCATGTGAGTCATCTCAGCTAATTACTTGGCCCTCAGGCCAGCCCCATCTGGTTCTCACTGTTACCCACTCCTGTTCTCATCTTTGGTCTTTTGAGCACTGGCCCAGCTCCCTGCCATGGTTCTCTACTGCGTCTCCTAGTGCTTAGCCCCACTGCCTGCCTTGCTGCGCCACCACAGTGAGCTAGCCTTTTGTCCAGGCCCCGCGTCTCCTAGCTTCAGGTCAAGCAGCCACCCAGCTTCAGCCTGGCTGGGGGCATTGACACCATCCCTCCCATCTTCCCGCAGGTACATCTCCTGTGCCCTTGGATGTCCCTATGAAGGGAAGATCTCCCCAGCTAAAGTCGCTGAGGTGTGTGTCTGTGGGCTGCTTCGCCTGTCCCTGCTTGCACAGGTGCCCTGGTCATTGATAGCATCTGTCACCCAATTCCTTCATTAGGCCACCCCAGGCCTCACTTGATCTCTGCAGGCTCCCTGCTAGCCAGGCCTCTGCCCAGCCAGAAAGCCTCCATTCAGCTTTTAGTCCCAGCAGCCGATGACCATGCCTGATGGGTGAAGAGGTGACCTCAAGGTGGCCTGCCCAGGGTCCTCATAGGTGAGGGGCCACAGCTTTGGCACAGTAAACAGTGGCCACGTCAGGGGCTGGGAAGGTGGCTCAGTGGTAGAGCACTTGCCTTGCATGCATGAGGCCCTGGGTTCCATTCCTCAGCACCACATAAGCAAAAAGAAAAAAACCAGAAGTGGCACTGTGGCTCAAATGGTAGAGTGCTAGCCTTGAGCTGAAGAGCTGAGGGACAGCGCCCAGACCCAGAGTTCAGGCCCCACAACCAGACCCCCCCAAAAAAAAAAAAAAAAAACAGTGGCCATGTCAATACTGGAAAACTTAAGAAGGCGATTAGATTTGAGCAGTCCAAGCGCTCATGTCATTTTGCCCTCAAAACTTCACTGCTGATTTTTATAAGAGGGAACAGAACTTTCTGCCAGGTTAAAGATGGTGGAACAGTCTTACTTTTCCTTCCCTAGTACATGGAACATCCAAATAGGAAGAAGACCTACTCACTGAGAGGTTGCTGGGCCCAATAGTACCCTCACAATGCTGCCATTTCTCACACTAACCTTCCCTGCAAGCAGCCATTGTTCCTTCCAAAAGCAGAAATCAAAGCTCAGAGAGGTTAAAACCCTTAGCCCAACACAAGGACTTTCACTGAGCATCACATGACTCCAGAGGCCTGTCCCTCCTCTGTACCCCTGCACCTGCCCCTCCTGCCACCGCCCTTGTCAGCCCTTGTCCTGTTGGGTGCAGGGAATAGGGATGTCACCATGTCACTTATCTAGCTGGTGATTGGTAGGTGTCATCCTTGCCTCTTGCTTCGTACAGCCTTGTTCAGCAGCCAGTCGTAGGTGCCCCTCCTCAGGAGAGGCATCTGCTGCTGCAGCTGTGCCATGACCCAGGGCTTCTAAAAGTACTCAGTGGCATCCCAGACCCACCATTTCATAGCAGATGTTTTTTCAGGGATGAAGCTGAAGGACAGAAATTATGAAGGACTGAAGTCAGGGAGCAGAGGGCTACCCCTGTGGTTAGATCTATACCTGAGTCACCATTTCCTGCTGGGAAGGGTGAGGCTAGCACACAGAGTTGTCAAGAGCCTAGGACCCAGTAGGAATTTAGCACCCCAGACATGGAATATCTGCCTGGTCCCAGGATCCCTGCCCCCTTATTGGTGGGTCTGGAGCCCTCTAAGAGCCTGCTTGCCCCCGCAGGTTGCCAAGAAGCTGTACTCCATGGGCTGCTACGAGATCTCCCTGGGGGATACCATTGGTGTGGGCACCCCAGGACTCATGAAAGACATGCTGTCCGCTGTCATGCAAGAAGTGCCTCTGGCCGCCCTGGCCGTCCACTGCCATGACACCTATGGCCAAGCCCTGGCCAACACTTTGATGGCTCTGCAGGTAATCAAAGGTGCATTTGTGCACAGGAACACACACACATGCACACACACACTTTTCAGAGGACACAGGGATAAGGCCTGGGTTTTATTTAGGCAAGTTAATGATAGGCAAATTAGTGAGAATGTTTAGCAAGCCAGGTGTGGTGGCACACTCCTTTAACCAGCAGTTGGGAAGCTGAGGCAGGAGGATCACAAAGTTGAAGCCAGCCTGGGCTACACAGTAACACTCTATCTCAAAAACGGATTTGAAAACAATTCTCTTTTAATGTAGTAGAGAGATAAAGAGGAAATGGGGAGGGAGGGGAAGTAAGGAAAGAGAGGGTTAACTGGAGTGGAGGAAAAGGTCTTGAGAACATGTTCCTAGGCACGCAGTGGTACAACCTTTACAGTGGTGTTGCTTAAGAAATGTGAACCATGGAGCTCCAGTGGCGCAATCAGTTTAGCGCAATACTTAAACGTGAATCAGGGGCCAAGCTGTGGCCTACCAACGCACAAGGCTCCAATCCATTACTGTCACAACAATAATTTAAAACAACAAGCCGGGCGTTGGTGGCTCACACCTGGAATCCTAGCTACTCAGAAGGCTGAGATCTGAGGATTGTGCTTCAAAGCCAGCCCAGGCAGGAAAGTCCGTGAGACTCTTATCTCGAATTAACCACCAGAAAACCGAAAGTGGAGCTATGGCTCAAGTGGTAGAGCACTAGCTTTCAACTGAAGAGCTAAGGGACAGTGTCCAGGCCCAGAGTTCAGGCCTCACAACTGACAAAAAACAACAACAAAAACAATAGCAGGACTGGGAATGTGGCTTAGTGGTAGAGTGCTTGCCTAGCATGATGAAGCCCTAGGTTCGGTACCTCAGTACCACATAAACAGAAAAAGCTGGAAGTGGTGTAGTGGCTCAAGTGATAGAGTACCAGCCTTGAGCAAAAGAAGGTCAAGGACAGTGCCCAAACCCTGAGTTCAAGCCCCAGAATTGGCCAAAAAAAAAAGCGAAAACATGCTTCTACAAGCAAGTGCCAGGCACCGGTGGCTCACGCCTGTAATCCTAACTACTCAGAAGTCTGAGATCTGAGGATTGCGGTTCAAAGCCAGCCCAGGCAGGAAAGTCCGTGCATGAGACTCTTATCTCCATGTAATTACCAAAAAAACAGAAGTGGAGCTGTGGCTAAAATGGTAGGGTATTATCCTTGAGCTGAAGAGCTGAGGGACAGCGCCCAGGCCCAGAGATCAAGCCCCAAGACCGACCAAAAAAAAAGAAAAGAAAAGCTAACTTTCCTATCTGCCAACAGTTTGGGACATGAAGCAGGCAGGCAGCTCACCTCATATAGCCCCTGTTTGGGCTGCACCACTGGGTGGATAGAAGAGCAGTGTAGATTCCTCCTGACATAAAGCCTCTGCCCTGGAGTCAACCATTCTCAGATACAGAGTCTGCAGTGACTCCACAGGCTTCCATAGTCCCAGGAGCGAAGGCTAATGGAGCCAGCAATGGAATACTCATTGGAACTGAGAATATTGAGATTTCGGGGGCTAGAAAGTTGGCTTAGTGGTAGAGCGCTTGTCTTGCATGCCTGAGGCCCTGGGTTCGATTCCTCAGCACCACATAAGAAAAAAGCCAGAAGTGGCATTGTGGCTCAAGTGGTAGAGTGCTAGCCTTGAGCTGAAGAGCTCAGGGACAGCACCCAGGCCCAGAGTTCAGGCCCCACAACCGGACCCAAAAAAAAAAAAAAAGAATATTGAGGTTTTTGAGAAACTTGGAATTCTCTTTGTAGCTTAGTTAAGCATTGGTAATCTCCTGGACATGAATGTCCCCAGCAGCAGTACCAAGTGCCATCTAGGACATGAGCATTAGCCGAGCCAAGCAGCCTGGGAAATAGGATGGAGCCCTTGGGAGGTTAGTGACCCAGCTGTAAGAACAGCCACGTGCTCATGCACACACACACACGTAGAGATCAGTAAACAGCCAGCTGTAAGAACAGCCACATGTTCATGCACACACACACACACACACACACACACACATGTAGAGATCAGTAAACAGCCAGCTGTAAGAGCAGCCACATGTTCATGCACACACACACACACACACACACACACACACACGTAGAGATCAGTAAACAGCCTCTGAGGGTGGAGATCTCAAGAGTGGGAAGGATTAGTTGTGATCTAGAAGGGCTTTTCTCAAGAGAGGTGCCCTTTAAGCCAAGACCTGAAGGGTGAGGAGTGAGCCAAGATGGTGGAAAGGAGACCATGCAGGCAGTTCCTGGCACTAAGATGAGCACTGCCTCGGGTTTTTCACTGCTCAGAATCAGGCTGAAAGACTGATGACACAGAGGGGATTTCAGGCAGTAATCGATGGGAGGTCTCCAGGAGCATAGCCACGAGTCACCGTTGTTTTGTTTCCAGATGGGAGTGAGCGTTGTGGACGCATCTGTGGCGGGACTTGGAGGCTGCCCCTATGCACAGGGGGCATCAGGGAACTTGGCCACTGAGGACCTGGTATACATGCTCTCAGGCTTGGGCATTCACACGGTAAGCCCGCTTGCTACCTGGTGGCGACAGCCCAGAGCTGAAGGGGTGACACGTGAAGAAGCCCCCGGGCATGTGTGGGGTTGTGGTGAAGAAGGGGGGTGAGGGGGTGGGATGTTTTTATTGCTGAGGCATCAGGTGGGGTGAGCCTGGCCAGCGTCAAAGCACAAGAAAGCCAGGGTCTCAGAATAACATCCATAAGCCGGGCGCTGGTGGCTCACGCCTGTAATCCTAGCTACTCAGGAGGCTGAGATCTGAGGATCGAGGTTCAAAGCCAGCCCAGGCAAGAGAGACTGTGAGACTCCTATCTCCAATAAACCACCAGAAAACCGGAAGTGGCGCTGTAGCTCAAGTGGTAGAGCGCTCGCCT